TCTGAAAGAAATGAAGCTAAATATGAACGTTTTTTTTTTTTTAATTATTTATCTGTGTGTGCACGTGATTTTTTTTTTTTGTCTCTTCCGTCCTTACCTTGGACACAACGTGTTCCATAGAGTCTGGGTCAGCCACCGAGAAACAGATGATGACCAAATCAGCATCTGCGTAGGATAAGGGTCGCACTCGATCGTAACCGGCGTCCCCTGAAAAAGAAACATCAGAATGCTGCATTAGAAAACACGCAAGTAGATGTCGATTTGCCATTCTTTTCTTATATATATATATATATATATATATATATATATATATATATATATATATATATATATATATATGTGTGTGTGTGTAGTTAGGTGCGAACAGACTGAGATAGATAGATAAATAATGAACAGAAATAGATAGATAGATAAATAGATAGATGCATAGATAGATAGATAGATAATCAACAGACTGAGATAGATAAGAAACATAGATAGATAGATATATAGATAGATACATATAAACAGATTGCGATAGATATAAACAAACTGAAAATATATATATATATATATATATATATATATATATATATATATATAGATAGATAGATAGATAGATAGATAGATATAACCAGCCTGAAAGAGACACAGAGATAGATAGATAGATAGATAGATAGATAGATAGATAGATAGATAGATAGAGAGAGAGTCTGTGTTGGTTGCTTGGTTAAATTCAAAATATTATCACCATTGTTTGGGTATTTAAGGTTGGGTATCGTTTTCAGTTTCCCCTATAATCAAAAAGGTAGACATGGTTCCCTATAATCAAAAAGATAGACATGTTCCCTATAATCAAAAGGTAGACATGGTTCCCTATAATCAAAAAGGTAGACATGGTTCCCAATAATCGAAAAGGTAGACATGGTTCCCTATAATCAAAAAGGTAGACATGGTTCCCTATAATCAAAAAGGTAGACATGGTTCCCTATAATCGAAAAGGTAGACATGGTTCCCTATAATCAAAATGGTAGACGACATGCATTTAACGGATGTCAGAATTCGTTGAAAAATGCACGCCTACCCTCCCTAAACTTAACCTCTTTTTCGAACGTAACTCATAATTAATACAACAATAGTTAATAAAAATGAACACTCTACCGCCCCTGTCTAAATGATTGGATTTCTCTGTATCCTTGGAAACAGGAAATTATGAATTTATATGTTCGTTTAAAACTCAGTAAATTTAAAAATAAGTTATTCCAATATTCGCTTGAAGATGAAATGGAACTAATTCTTTTAATTTAATTATAAAATTAAATTTAAATTTTAGAGCTTCCATTTTTGAAACATGTTTATTACTGTGTAGCGAAAAAACATATTTTAAATCAGTTAATTTATATATATATATATATATATATATATATATAGCTAGAGACATATATATATATATATATATATTTATATATATATATATTGAAGTTAAGTCTTTTCTAGTCGCTTTTCTTCATTACCTTTTCACAGAAATTCTTGTGCAACTAAACAATTTCCTTATAAAAGCCATCACCAAAACAATCGATCATTTCTAACGATCGGAAAGAAAAATAAAACAGATTATAAAAAAAACAAAACAAAAAAAAAAAACAAATAATATCATTTTTAAAACTTAATATGCAAAATAGTCATCTCTCTTGGGTAATAACTCTTAAGTTGGGTCCGACACATTCTGCTAGATCCAAATAGTGAAACCGCATGTTTTCACTCATCGCCCGGTTCGCACCCCTCCTCGTTCTTTTGAAGAGGAGTACAAGTCTATTCCTTGTCTTCGGTTCCTTCTAAGTTTTACTTCAACTCTATACTTCTAAAATCTCTGCCTAAACTCTGAAAATTCATTTTTCTATTTTTGTTCCCCAAATAGGAGTAGCTAGATTCGCCTGTCGTCCAGTTCACACTCCTCCCCGATCTTTTGAACTGGAGTAGAGGTCTATCCCTTGTTTCCTGCATAGGACTGGCTTTTTGGTTCTTTCTAAGATCTTTTATTTCTTTTAAACTTCCGTTGGTCCTCTTGCATTTTTTTGGTGGCATTGTCACCTTGCTTGAGGTGGATTGATAAGACAAAATTTACATTCAGTTCCAGTGGCCCGTCTAACCAGACACCATCTGTTCCATTACTTTAAGAAGGGCTGTGTCAATCACTGATGCCTGAAGCATAGCATCCCCAGTAGGTAAATGTCGATTGAGCTGGGCAAATTTTATCACTATTGCGCATGTTCGCATGGGATTTCCACTTTAAACTCGGCTATAAGCCATATTTCGTTCGAGTGGGCGTGTGTGGACAGGTGCCAAAACCACATTTCAGAGACGGGACCGATTATTATACTCAGCTCCAAGGGGACTTCCTCATCGGACACTACCTCTCCATACTGTGCTTAAATGTCAAAGGGCCTGAGGCGAATTTTAATGCATTCTTAAATTCGGCCATGTGCCATATTCCATTGGAGTGGGTGTACGATCAATTGCA